CGCCGCCCGCGCCCCTTCACCCAGCCGGGGCAGCCAGAGCGGAAGGAGGATGGGGTGGTCTCTGGGGCTCCCCAGTCCTCACGGCCGCACGGCTGTGGGTGCGGCAGGCCAGCCGCGGGGGGGTCCTGGCCCATAGCCAGTGCAGGCACCACCTGCCCTGCCCGTCTCCCTGCGCTGCTGCGCTGCCCTCCCCATTCAGGGGCGCTGTGTCCTCAGCCCCATGGGCAGGCCTGGGGAGCCCCGGCCCGTGCGTCGCGGAGGACCCGCTGTGCGCACAGGAGGGCCGTGTCCTGCAGAGAGCAGGTCACTCCGCCGGCCGCACCAGGGCCCGCCCACACGCCTGCACAGCTGCTGCCGGGCTCCGGGGGCGGCGAGTGGGCGCTCGGGGAGGGCCCAGTGGGTGCCGCTGCCGCCCGCGGGGCGTACCTTTCTGACGGTGGGTGACCAGCAGGACGCGGCCGTAGCGGCCCTGGCCCAGGGGCCGCACCTGCTGGTACAGCTCGTCCACCTCGGCGTGGACCAGCGTCTGGGAGCTCAGGGCCATCATGTCCTCCAGCGCCAGGGCCGCCTCCTGGCCTTCGCGGAGCTCCTCCGGGGTGAGCCCGCCCAGGTCCTCGGCCGCGCCGTCCTCCGCAGACCCCGCCGCCTCCTGCTCTTCTGCCTGCGTCCCGGGCATCGCTGCAGGGATCGGCGGCCGCGTGGTCCCGGGCTGCCGGCCGGGGGTGGGGTCTGGACCCCTGCGGGGAGATGCCCAGGTCAGGGGAGGGGCCGGGGACCGGACCCCTGGGGCCAAGAGGAAACCGGGTCCACTGGCCCTTGCCACTGAGACTCAGTTTCCCTGGTCACGACGGGCGTCCGGGAGCGGGGCCCAGTCACTGGTGTGGGTGAGTCGAGCCTGAGGCCACAGATGTCCCTGGCCCCCACCCGCACAGCCCCACGCCACCTGACGGCCCAGGCTGCCCGGGTGACAGGAGACCCGACCTGTCTCCAAAGCAAACAGACGCGGCCCGCGGGCGGGCGCTGGGGCAGCTGTGTCCCCTGAGAGCAAGCAGGTGCCCTCTGCCCAGGCCCGGGCGCCGGGTGACACCAGAGCTGGGGTCGCCTGGGTCCGGGGGGTCATGCCCCAGCGCGTGAGAGGCGGCGCCCCTCCGGCCGGGCGCAGACCCCGCCGC